CAAGAAACTTTAGCTCTAAGCTCTCTAAGAGCTCTGGACTTCTTGGGCTCTTCTCATACTCTTAGTTCATTTAGACTTTAGTAAAAGAACACAAACCCAACACCATGTTCATTGGAAACAAAACATAACTAACTTATAAAAGAAGAATGACAATCTTGCTTCTAATGATCTTATAAGACTCCTTAACTAATTTTAAAAATAATCCACCTTATTTTTAATGAAACTCAAAGATATCACAACTTAACTAATTTTAAATATTATTGACATGAAGCTTATTTTAGGACTACTTAACTACAAGCATCAAAAGACTCAACGTCAACAATATCAAATTTAAGAAATTTTGCCTAAAATGGATCTAATGTAAAAATGACCCGTTCTAAATTAGGAGGAGTGAAAATTTTAGCTTGTGCAAGACCTCTCCAAACACGAAAAATGAGTAAGGTTAGACTTTCTATTACTTCAGAGTTCAAAATGATTGAATTGCAACAATATTTGGAAAAATCATATTGGGGTTAAAATTTGACAAGGATCATTGGATAAAAACCATGTATATAGATTCACAAATTAGAACTAATTTGCAATTTGGGTTTTTTCAAACCCTAGGTTTAGAAAAGAAAATCCAAATCAAAGTTCTCTAAACATAAGTGTTAACAAAATTCAATCCCAAAAGAAGCAAGCATGTTCAATAATAAACAGTTAAATCACAAATCATATAATTAATCAAGTCACTGATATCATTTGTTGAAATTATTTCACCAATAAATCCACAAATATGAATTGTACAATATTAATCGATCATTAATACATATATATTTTGGGGTTTATGAGTATCCTGCAATCCCTCTCTTTCCGGCCAACATAGTTAATGGCGGGACCCATTTTTTTTAAACAAAAAATGGATTCCAAGGGTTTTTGACCATCGTAGCCCTTATTTAATAAGTAATTATCAAATTGACTTTGATTATAAACTATTTCAAAAATTTAACCTTTTTTACAAACATAACACCAATCTGCTCCTGTTTGACCGTTGACCATCAAGCCTACTCGGTATCCCCCTCCCTATCCGGGTATTTTTTGAAAATTTACCCTACTCGAGTAGTTAAGGGGATACCTTGGTATATTTCAAAAATCTGAAAAAATGGTTGAATTATTTACCTAAATAGAAAGGGAGCTACCCGGGTAAATTTCCTTGTTTATAGTGTGGGATAACGGTGACCTTCTTACTCATGAAGTTATGGGTGGCTTAAAGAATGTATATGCTATTGGAGCAGGTAAAATTTAGTTTACATTGTTACATTGTAGAGAACAACTTAGTAGAAGCCAATCGGTACATACTGTTTTTAAATTTTAAGCAGGAGAGAGAGAGTATCTTTTTGTGTTCTTGGTGGTAAGTGATAGACATATAGGCATCCTTCTTATTAGATATACTTGCAGTGGAAATTTTGTCTTAGGGGGCGTTTGGTTTCATGCTTTTTGAGATTTTTCTAGGTAAATGAAGTTTGGTTTTTAGAAAACCAATATTTGGTTCAACAGCTTTTGACCAAAATCCATCTATGTGAAATGCATGGCTTTTTGAGAAAGATAGTAATTTGCACTGTTTAGAAATCCGATTTGAGGGTGATTTTTTGAGAAAATTCGGGTAAAGCACTGTTGACACACTTTTTGTCATATATTTTCCTGGTAACAATTTGTCAAACCAAACTACTTTTTTTTTAACTTCCCCATCTATTCAACTTTCTCTATGGATACTTAATAATTATATTTCTCTAGTATTCTTAAAATTTATCTTCAACCAAACGCCCCCTTAAGGGATTCCCACTTTCCAGGCTTGTTTATCTTCTTACAATTTTTTAAAAAGTAAATTTAGGAGTCTAGTCTTTTGTATTTTCTCTTGCTAAATATTATTTGGGAAATCTTTGAGATTAGGGATAAAGTATTTAGATGATTTCTACTGGCTAAGTTTGTTCCTATTCTTTTTCCCTTACTTTGTTGTATTTGCTTTTGTGACAAATCATTTGTGAGCTGTCGGAGTTTAGGGGAAAGTTATTTAGGGGGCGTTTGGTAAGGGAGAAATATTTTTTTAACTGGGAAACTAATTTTGCAGAAATGTGGGCTGAAATAGTTTTTTGCAGATAAATTATAAAAGTGTATTTGGTTGACCAAAATTTGTCCTGGAATATTTGAGTTAGTTTACTGAGTTGATGTTTGGTTGATTGTTAAAAATAGTAGGAATGTGGGGTTATTTTACAAAAATAACCCCAGTTTCATTTTTTTTTTGTACAGCTTTTTGAGCCACGTTCAAATCATAAACGATTAGGTTCAGAGCTTTGTTTCTTCTTCTCGCCTCCATTGCCACCCATTTCTCGGCCACCACGTCACCACCTAAAAGTGTTTGGTTGAGCTCTTTCTGATTTTTTCTTCTCTTACAGGTCAATTCAACTCATTCATTTTTCATTTTTTTATTGTTGTTACTATAGGTGCTTCGATCAAAAAGATGGTTGAAGGCTGAGCTTGAGATCTGATTATCTCTTCCTCAGTGCTTTGAACCCAAAAAATTAAAGTTTCTTCACAGACTTCACAAACGTAGGGTTAATTTGGTCCAAAATTTTTTATCAATTTATCACTTCCTCTGGAAACCAAAAAAGCCAATAAATATGTGGTATTGTTGAGCTGGTATCTGTACTCCCATTTACACTGCAGAATGAAATCCAGGAACAAAATATATCTGGAATAATTTTCAATTTTTGGCTACCAAACATAGGATTTCAATTTACCTAAGCTCAGTTTCCCAGACTTTTACAAAAAATCCGAGTACCAAACACGACCTTATAGCCTACCAGTTGTAGGAATTTACTGGTTTAGTTAATCCTCACTTTTCAGGCACCTCGCCCTTTTTATAAATTCTTATTTTCTCATTGATGCGGCTTGTTTATTATATTTTCTTCAGCCAGATATCATTGAGAGCTCTTAGAGATTAGGAATTATTTGTTGGCCAACAGTAAAGAATTCTGTCTCTCACTCTCCCTTCTTTGCAGATTTTTGAAATAAAGAAGGAAATTTACCTGGGTAACCACTTACCTACTCGGGTAAATAATTCAACTATTTTTTCAGATTTTTGAAATATACCAGGGTATCTCCTTGACTATCCGGGTAGGGTAAAATTTTCAAAAAATACCCGTGTAGACTTGATGATCAACGGTCAAACAGAGACAGATTGGTGTTACGTTTGTAAGCAAGGTTAAATTTTTAAAATAGTTTATAATCAAGGTCAATTTGATAATTAATTATTAAATAAGGACTACAGTGATCAAATAGCTGGAATCCCACGGTTAGATGTCTTTATAACATAACATAAAAATCTTCATGCAACATTACACTTATTTTTCCCATATATTTTAGTTGTGAGTGAACCAATAAGACCATACAACAATCACTGATTGTTGTAGTCAATCACAATGAGAAAGCCTAAAATATCCTAGTAGTGCATCTCATGACTATTTTCACAGTAATTCTTCCATTATGGGTTATTAATAGTCAGGGCGGACCTACATGGGGTTAGGGTGGGCCCCTGTCACTCTCTAAAATATGAAAATATGTTCTACTATATGATATGCAACATGGTCTGTAAAATAAAATTTTGAAAGTGCTTTTAAAAAGTAAAAGACAAGCAATGTTATTCATAAAAAAAAGTGTTCCACCCGTTCATTGCACCCAATTAGAGATAATTATTATTTACCAAATTCAACCTGCTAGCATATATGACAGATTTTGTTCTTGGTCTGCTACCCTCCCTAATCAATGTGGAAAGCTGGCTTTTTCATTGTATACAAAGAAGAGTTTAGTTAGTAATGCATATCCACTCTACCTATCAAATTTGTTTAGAATTTGATTTTATATTGATTGATTATCTAATTTTATTTTTATAATCATTAAAAATTTGTACAGATTAACATGTTAGAACTAAGAGAAGAGTATTTAAGTTTTGATTTTGTTGACAAAGAAAAAAGATTAATAGCAGTTACCAATTATTAGTTGGGACCAAATACTAAAGATAATAACACATTGATTAATTTAAGGGAAATAGTAGTCTCATGTTGTAGGAGATTATTATCTTATGCCATAGACACTTCGATAAGTGTGTTGCTATTTTCTTTTATTTTCTTTTCTCTTTTTTAGTGGTGGGTCCCATCATTTTGTGTCTTAGCATAAGATATGCTCTCTCCTACAACATGAGAGTAGACAAACCCTTAATTTAATGTGTCTTCTACTAAATAACAGCTAAGTGAGAAAATAAGATTCTGAAGAAATCAAAGAAAATGCAATTATAACACCAGAAGACATGAAAGTAAACAATAAAAAATTGATCTTACAAACAAAGATACACATTTATAGACAAAAAGAAATATGAATCTCACTAAATAAAATAAAGACAAAAAAAATTCCATCTATTTATATCTATGAAATAATTCAATTTATATCACTTAAAATGATACACATTTATTCCGTACAATTATATGTTCGCATTATGCTCCCTTGACCTATGTCGTTATTGTTCACGTGCAGATGCGACTCCAGTTTAAAAAGAACAAAAACAAATAAATAAATGGTAAACAATATCCGACTTAAACTTAAAAAGAACAAAAAATACATAAATAGAATGAATGGAAAAAAAAAATGTATAAAAATGAAAATAAATGGTGAACAGAATGGAACAAATCAAAGAAGAGAAACGAATTGAAGTTCCAATTGGGCGTCGATTTAAAATTAGGAGTGTTATGCGGACAAACTGCCTCAACTTGTACGCGCATGACTCATCTTAGCACATGAACTGTCACAATTGTGTCACTGTCCCTCTCACTTTTGATATTGGTTGTCTAGTCATTCAGTTGAATCTTCAAACTCCATTTTGACCCCAACCCAACCCAATTCACATTTTCACACTTCTTAAGGCATTATTGCAACACCAATCAACCAATCTTATTATAAAGCCTTGATCTTCTTAGATTGCATTATTATTCATTTTCCCTATGTGCAAGACCAAAATGGCAATCAACGCCACAAACCCATCATCCTCAAGCCCTCGAACCCCTCGAACTTCACGCTCCCAAACCCCAAGGACAACAACATCAAGACCAACAAACATCCTTCAACCTTCAAGAACTTTCTCCGAACCTTCAACCTCGTACGCCAGCTCCACAGGCTCCACCGGCTACAGACTCTCCTCCGACACCTCCACTACAAGCAGAGCATCTCTCGCCACTCTCCGCGACAGCCTCCCAGAAAACCCAAACATTTACGACTTCTCCGAGATCTGCTCCGCCACCAACAACTTCCTCTCCAAGCGCCACTCCTCCTCAACCCCTTGCTGGCGATGCACCCTCCGCGGCGCTGACGTCATTGTTTTCCAGCGCAAGTTCCGCCGCAAACTCCAAACCTCCCAGCTCCGGGAGCTCCTCTCCGTCATCTGCCGCAGCCACCACGTCAGCATCATAAAGCTCCTCGGCGCGTCAATCTCCGGCGACCACATCTACCTTGTTTACGATTTCGTCAACGGAGCTAACCTCTCCGATTGTCTCCGAAACAAGAAGAACATTCACTTCACCGTTCTTTCCACTTGGATGTCGAGAATGCAGGTCGCCACCGATCTCGCTCACGCGCTCGATTACATTCACAACAAGACCGGTTTGAACATCAACTTCGTCCACAACCGCATCAAGAGCAGCGCCGTCATCGTCACCGACAATACCTTCAACGCTAGGGTTTGCCATTTCGGCGCCGCACAGCTTTGCGGCGAGATCGAGCTAGAAAACGAAACCGCCGCGAAAAAATTGGGGGAAATCACGGAGGAACAACCGTCGCCGACGAGATCCAAATCGGGGAGCTCCACCGTGCAATTCGAGGGCGTCCGAGGGTACATGTCGCCGGAATTTCAAGCCACCGGCGTTTTGACTCAGGAGTCCGATGTGTATGCTTTCGGGGTGGTGCTGCTGGAGCTGTTGTCAGGGGAGGAGCCACTGACGTTCAAGATTGATAAGACCACACGCGATTTCGTGAAGACGTCGGTGATTGCGACGGCGATGGCCGCCGTGGACGGCGGTGGTGGTAGCGTAGAAGGGAAGCTGAGGAATTGGGTGGATAGAAGGCTGAAGGACTCGTTCCCGATCGACGTTGCTGAGAAGCTGACACGTGTAGCGTTGGATTGCGTACACGTGGATCCTGATAAGAGGCCTAACATGGGACGCGTCGCTGGCAAGATCTCCACCCTTTATTTGAAGTCAAAGAAATGGTCTGAGAGTATTACGATGCCTGATCTTACCGTTTCCTTGGTTCCTCGGTGAGTTCTTACAAAGAAAACTTCAAAAAAAATCTTATAACTTTTTTCATAATTATTTATCTCTTTTCTAAAATTTTTGAATCATTTATTTTTCTGAAGTTTTTTTATCATTTACCTCTTAAGTAAAATGGATAAGTGATAAAAAACTTTAAGTGAGGGAGTAAGTGATAAATTTTTTTTAAATAATTATATAAATGATTCAAAAAATTTGTGAAAGAGATAACTAATAATTAAGAAAACTCCGCAGAATATTTTGAAGTTTTGCCTTCTTATAAATGGCGGCATTAAAATAACAAGTCATTGATAGGAGTAAATTAACATTGATTTTTGTATTTTTTTTTTTGTTTTTGTTTTACAATTTGTGATGATTAGTCATTGGATAGAATGGGTCGTCACCTGGTTGATTCGATTACGACAGGAGTGTGGAATGTGTATATTTTATAAACAATACTTTGGGAAAGATAAGGCAAAATATTTATATTCGGAATTTGTAGGATGACCTTCTAGTATTATGGTACGTAAAATATGTTACTATAAAATAAAACACGCTTTTCTTTTAACAAAGTTTACTTTCAGTTTTGAACTTCAAAGGGGGAATAACCTATTTAACTGATTATCCATGCACTGGCTGAGGTATTCTTGGTGATATAAGTCAAAATAGAAAGAGTCAATTATTTTAGGTTGTCTTGATACACTTGATTTCCATATCAATGCTGCCAACTTTATATAGTCAACGATTTATTGAAATAATCTCCGTACACCAAGAGGGAAAAAATAATACTTGAAGTTTGTTAACAAAATTACACTTGGAATTTATTATTATTATTATTATTATTTTATTTTTTTCTTGTTAAGAGGTTGTACAATTAGGGTATACTATTTTCATGTTATTGAGTTTATTTTATTACATGTATATTTAATTTTTTACAAATATTTTATCATGAGTTTTAATACCCACATTTCCTCACGGAATTCTCTATAAGAAAAGCATATTATTATTGCTAATGAATAGACCTGCACCGTGCGCTTTTAACTTGTATTTTTATATTTTTTGTTAAGACAACAAAAAATAAACAATAATAAAAAGTGTTTGAACTAAATTACAAATATATAATGAGTAATTATCTTACAAGATGAAGAATATGAGAAATTGTAATATTGATTGTTAATACAATAGAACTATTAAGTGCTACATATACATCACCCTAAATTGTAACCTACTAACAGAAAGTCGTGTAACATACTAACAACACCCTAACAAACCAGAAATTGAAAGTAAAAATAACTAATTAAAAGGAACGTGCATATATACGACACAAGCAGAAAAAAAAAATTCGTGCAAAAGGGGAGTAGTAGCGAGATTTTGACAGAGGAAGTAGACCTTTTGAAACGAAGTGTTGAAAGGCGAAAGCTAATTAACAGTGAATGAGTTCTCTTTGTGTTTAACAAATAGTGAGTAATTAGCCAAGGATTGAGTATAACCCAAAGCAAGTAGTGCAGATGTAAGTTTGGCATTCCACTGCCTACTAGCCTGCTTTAAATCGTATAAAGATTTCTGCAACTTACATACTTGAGATGAAGAGGAAGCATGAAGACCTGGAGGTACCAACATGTAAACTTCTTCATTTCAATCACCACGAAGAAAAGTATTGTTTATATCTAACTGTTCAATAAACCAGTTTCGGGCAGTGGCAATTGCAAGCAGGGTTCTTACTGTTGTAAGCTTGACAACAGGTGAAAAGGTGTCTAAATAATCAATACCTTCCAATTGAGTGAAACCTTTAGCCACTAGCCTGGCTTTGTATCGATCTATAGTTCCATCAGCTCTATGTTTTATTTTGTATACTCATTTGCAGCCAATGAGTTGTTTGTTAGCTGGTAAATCAACAAGGATCCATGTTTTGTTCCTTTCTAAAGCTTGTATTTCTTCCTTCATTGCTTGCTGCCAATATGGGTTAGATGCAACTTGTTTGTATTTGTGTGGTTCAGAATGAGATGAGATATTATGACAGAAAGAGGTATGAGAGGGAGAATAATGTTCATAAGATAAAACTGAAGTCAAAGAACAAAGAGTTGAAGGATTACCTGAGGATGCAGTGGTTGCAGCATGTGTAGTAGGTAAGTTCAGTGAAAATCATTGAGGTATTTTAGTAAATTCTTTGTTCTGGTTGATCTCCTTGAAGTGTTTTGAGTTTGAGGATCACTTTTGTAGTGGAAGGGTGATGTATATCTATATCAGAAGTTGAATTTTGAGGTTGGGATAAGGTTGGTTGTGTTGAATTGGGTATAGGATCATCATATGTAGGTATATTTTGGTTAGATGAAGTGGTTATATGTAAAGGATTTTGCTGATCTAATTTGGCAAATGGAAAAATGGATTCATAAAAAATAACATTTCTAGAAACAAAAGTGTTATGAGTTGAAAGATCATAAAGAAGATAACCTTTTGGTTCCAACTTTATATCCAAGAAAAATAGCTTTTCTGGCTCGATGATCAAATTTTGTGCGACCAACAGAGAGAGTAGAAACATAACATAGACATCCAAAGACTCTAAGGTGAATTAGCAGAGGAGGTTCATTATGTAACAGTTCATAAGGGCTCTTGTTTTTGAGATTGGAAGATGGTAATCTATTTATGATATGTACTGCATGAGTGATGCAGTAGTTCCAATTTTTTTTTTGGAATTTTTGATTGGAAAAGAATGGATCTGGCTACATTCAGAATGTGTTGATGTTTTCTTTCAACAACACCATTTTGTTGTGGAGACTCTACACATGTGGTTTGATGTATAATGCCTTTTGAATTAAAGAATGTTGACATTAAAAATTCAGGTTCATTGTCATTTGAATAGTTTTTATGGTAGTTTGAAATTGATTTTCAATGAGTTTTATGAAACTCTTGAGATGATCACGTGTTTCAGATTTAGTTCTCATTAGAATAACCCAACAAAATCTAGAATAGTCATCAATTAAGGTTAGAAAGTATCGATGACCAGAAGTGGAATGTATACTATAGGGTCCCCAAATGTCAGCATGAACCAAATCAAATATATGAGAAGATAAAGAAGAACTAGAAGTGAAAGGCAATTTTCTTTGTTTGGCAAAATGACATGTATCACAAGGAATGACAGTATTATTGCTGATAAAAGGAAATTTTGTACATATGGTCTGCATAATGGATTGAGAGTAGTGACCAAGTCTAAAATGCCATAAGTATTGACTAGTTATATTTTTCACAATATTACAGTGGCTGGTTTCTGTGGAGTTTTGTCTTTTAGGAGATTCTTGATTAAGCACATATAAACCACCCACTTGTTTAGCTGAACCAATCATCCTCTGGCTGATATTCTGCAAAATATAACAGGAAGGCTCATTAAAAGTGATGGAACATTTCAAATCACGTAAAAGTTTAGTGATTGATACAAGATTCACACGAAATGATTCTACATACAGAACATCATTTAATACGAGTGAGTCAGAAATATGAATTATTCCAGAATAAAATGCTTGAACTTGAGATCCATTTGGAAGGTTTATGAATATTGGTTTGATGGGTTTAATAGAGGTGAATAAGCTAGAATTGTAAGAAATGTGATCAGTAGCACCGATATCCAATATCCATTGAGTATTTGAATTACCTGTTTGAGTAGAATCTGTATTGAATATATTGGTATGCACAACATTTAAAACATGATTGGAACTGATTTTTGTTTGCTGCAGCAAGTCTAAAAGACTATTATATTGTTCTTTAGAGAAGGTACAACCTTGTTCATGAGGTTTCTGAGATTGTTCTTCAAAGAATTCATCAAGATTTGCATCATTTTCTTCTTGTGACACTGCATTTTCCTTATGAGAGAAGGTATAACCAGGTGGGTAACCATGTTTCTTGTAGCAAGTCTCTATGGTGTGGTTAGTTCTACCACAGTAAGTACAAATTCTGTTTATGTTTCCACGTTCTCTTCCAAAAAATTGTCCACCTCTTCCAGCAAAAGTGCGACCTCTTCCTCTTGTAAATTGTCCACCTCCTTGTGTGTATTGATGAGTGGTGACATTTAACAGAGCCTTGGGCTCTCTTTCAATTTCATTTTCAACATTATCTGTATTCAATTGACGTTCTTGCTGAATGATTAGTGAGAAAACTTGAGTCATACCTGGTAAAGGTTGCATGAGCATTATCTGAGACCTTGCTTGTGAATATCTCTCATTGAGTCCTCTCAAGAAAGGAATTATATGATTTCTTTCTTTGGTAGCATTTATTTGTACTGAAGCTCCACAAGAACAGTTGAGTGAAGGTTCAAGACTGTCAAGTTCGTCCCATAGGATCTTTAACTGAGTAAAATATTCTGAAATTGACCTTGTTCCTTGCTGCAGTCGAAAGATATCTTCTTGCAGATCAGCAATACGAAAAGTATCTAATTGGGAAAATCTCTCACGCAAATCTTTCCAAACCTGTGAAGCCTGCTCCATACAAAGAACAGATTGTGCTATATTCTCTGTGATTGAATGACTGATCCAAGAAAGAACCATCATGTTGCATCGCTCCCATGCATAATGCAAATGATCTGTTTCAGCTGGAGTGGGTATACTGCCATCCACAAAACCAAGCTTGTTCTTGGATCGTAATGCTCTTGTCATTGTTTGAAGCCAGGAATGATAATTTTTGCCATTAAGAAGAGTAGGAACAAGAATTAAAGAAGGATTCTCATTTGGGTGAAGAAAGAAAGGACTCATTTGATTATCTGGTGATGAGCTTTGGTTCGCCATTGTAGAAAATCAGAGAAAGTAAGAAGAATTCGAGTAAAGAAGACAACAACGAATACCAGATATCAATAGAGCTCTGATACCATGTTATCAAAGAAAACTGAGAGAAGAAAGGATGAAGAAAGAGAAAGAAATGCTCTGAATAATACTCTGTATATTTTCATATCGAACCCAAGTACAGTGTGACCACTGTTTATACAATACAAAAGCTAACTGCTATATCAAGAAACTGAAGATAACTAACATAACTACAACTACAATTCAGTTAAGCTGATAAAACTGATATGATAATAGGGAAAGCTAATTAACAGTGGAAGGGTGGTAGAAGGAGATCCCATCCGAAAGGCTACATCGTATAGAGACACTCTACTGCATCTAAACGGGGGAGTCACGACGATGGAAAGGGAGATTGACTGCTTTAACAAGTTGAGGATTGATGAATAAGAGGAAGACATGAAGATGGAGTCAAATGGGAAGGGGTGCATAATGATGATCCGCTTTGTCCAACTTACCGGTTTGACAAGGAAGTTCACAAGGATAGTTGCAAACCGTGGAGGCAATCAGTGATAGTCAAATTACTGGGGGAAAAGGTTGGAGTCAAATTCTTTCTGAACAGGCTTCTCAAGGTGCGGAAATTTTCGAGAACCTATGATTTTATCGACCTAGAAAATGACTACTTATTATTCTGATTTTCAGATGTCGAGGACTATAATTTTGTCTTGCAGTAAGGCCCTTGTATAGGAGTTGACCTCTATGTGGTGGTGCAACGTTGGCGGCCGTTCTTTGATCCTAAAGACGACAACGTCAAGAAACTAGTTGTATGGATTCGAATTCCTGGGCTCCCAATAGAATTTTACACAACAAATCATCTACGGAATATAGGGGACCTGTTTGGTCGTACCCTGAAGATCAACAGGAACTCTATTCGTAAAGATGATTTAGGAGAAGGTGAATTCACTGATCGCGCCAAATTTGCTTAAATTTGTATCAAAGTTGATCTAAGCAAAGGCTTAATGTCGAAATTCAGAATAGGTAACCGGATCTTCCCAGTAGGACACGAAGGACTTCATCTCATCTGTTTCGCTTGCAGGAAATTCAGCCACAGATGTGATGCATGTCTTACCTTCTCTAATCCTTATGTAAATAACCAATTCAACCCAAAAGCTTAAGCTGTTGGGTAGGACTACATTAATGGTTTTATATATCTCAACACGCCCCCTCACACGAGAGCTCACTGGGCTTGAAGGGTGGACAATGCACTAGAAAGAAAGTGGGGGTGGGGGTAGGGGGCGGTGAAGATCGAACCCGGTACTCCGAAGCTCTGATACCATGTAAAGAACCAATTCTCCCCAAAAGCTTAAGCTGTTGAGTGATGCTACATTAATGGTTTTATATATCTCAACACCTTCAAATGAACAAAATAATACTTCACAGAATCCAACTACTACTTCAGAAATGAACAGACAGGAAGTCACGACTGATAGAGAAGCTTCCGGACCATGGATGGTTGTCCAGCGAAGTAGAAACAGAGGACGAACGAGAGCAGTTCCAGTTGTTACAAATGTTGCAATGAATGTTTCGGTTACATCATCAAAATCTGGTATACCTCAAACATTGCGATTAGCTCCAACCGTTACGTACGTTGCAATTAATGTTGTCGTTACATTGTCAAAATCTGCTATTCCTCAGTAAATGCGATCAGCTCCAGCTATTACAAATGTTGCATTGAATGTCGTCAATACGTCAAAATCTGAAATTCCTCATTCAGCGCGTTCCTATGCTAATTTTGGGCAGAATATAATGAATAATAAACAAGTGGGACAAGGTAGGAACGTTACTCAATCCGTTAGAGGCTCTTCTAGGTCGAGATTTACAGCTATGGTTGATAACTCTCCAAAAAAGAGTTATTCTAGGCTTAAATGTGATGTTTTGGGTACTATGATTGCATGTTATTCTCTTGATTTTATATGATTAATGCATGAATTTTGTGATTTCATGGTTTAATGGAGAATTATGTTAATTATGAGAAGTTGGGCATAAATTGGGGTTTTAGAAACATTTAAATGCACTTGTTATTTTACTGCAGGTCGATGCTGTAGCATCAGGAAGCAGTGCTGTAGCAATGGAGATGAGGTCAGCAGTATATACTGTTGACATCAGCACTAGCAAATCATGGATCCAAGCCCAATTTGGTTAATGAAGCTTCTGAACGCGTACGAAAAGATCTGATTGGAAGACGCGCTCAACATCATCAAGAAATCACAAGATTATCTTCATCAAATCAATGATTACAGATCGGATTAAAATCTAAATTGTAAATATGGAAAGAATCCTGTGAGATATGCTATAGCACATGTTGTCACCTTGACAGCAAAACAGAGTGCCAATCTCAATCAATCACAAGGCAGCTTTGAGTGATGATTTGCATGAACTGAAAGAGATGATTGAAGCCCAGAATGTCAGAGCTATAAAGGAACGAACTCTACACAAAGAACTGCTACGACTGATATGTTTTGAGACACCCAATTGGAGGCAGATTTAGAAAGAGAAAGTGGAGGAAACACTTGGGAGGAATTTGAGGGTTCGTTGGGAGAAATCTCGCGGATCAAAGGAGGAAGCTGAAGTTCAATTGAGATATCATTGAACCCAGCAACTTGCTGCACTATTCCGACGGCTGAGGCAAGGTTGATGGTGGTGGAGCTCATGTTGCTGCGATAGCAGTGCTACAGCATCGTCCCTGTTTTCTTTACTTTAGATCTATGGAGTCTTATTCTTCCCTTGTTGTTTCTGTTCACCATATTATGGGCTAATTTATTAGGATTAGGTGATAGAGTACCCTTATTATGATGTAAACAATATTGCCTAAACTTTGCTACATGATTTTCCTTTCGGTTGCTTAATAAAGTATTATATTTTCTTTAATCTCGTTGATTCATCGAGAGAGGGTTGCAAGATAATTAGGATGTATGTTATAGAAATATAGATATTTCCTGAATGTTATAAAGCATTGTGGTTTAATTAAGTAATATTAGTTAATTGTGAGTAGAGAAATTACTTGCACCACAAAACCAATTGGAACTTGAGCTTAATGGACTCATAACTTTGTCGGCCATAGAAATGTGGGACTTAGTATAAATGTATTGTTGGTGAGAGCCCTTGCATGCATTGGTGTTTTGGTTACTGTTTGGATAATTGCTATAGCATGGTTACTGCATTCTGTTTATATTGCAATAATGGGAAAATTGATCCTAATCTGTCTTGATACATTTGAACACTTCTTTTGATACTGAATTCTTGTTTAGTTAATCAGTAGCCTTAGTTTACTTTGCTTTACTTTTAAGTGCTAATTTAGTCTTTAGTTCTTCAACAAATCATATTTGTCACCTTGATTGCTTCACGAAAGTATAATCTCTGTGGGAACGATATCTGGACTCACACATCCACTCTATTACTTGTTGATACGTGCACTTGTGTTTTTGTGTGATTTAATTGATTACGAAATTGCACAACAATGGTAGATCATGGCATTGATGGTGATTTGATAACTGACTTAACAAGGGTTGGAAAAGTTAATGATAAGGATCAAACTCTGCAAAATATAACGACCAAGAAAGGAAAATAGATAATTACGGTTGTCACCAATCCTAAATCTAAGCCAGCTTTAATGGTCAGTAAATGGAAGATCATAACAGCCCATCACGTGGATGATAAGAGCGCAACTGTCAAACATCATCATAAGGAGGATCAGCACAATAAATTAGCAACCAATCAGGAGCCTAGTCAAAAGTCAATAACGATCCAACATGGTACTAATATGCAGCCGGGGAAAAAGGAGGGATTAAAGGGCCTCAAGGAATTGTCTGAATGTAGAAAGAGACAAGCAAGTCTTTCTGTGGCCACCAACATTTTTAAATTATCTTCGAAAACAAATTCTGCTCCCATGTCTTTGAAGGCTAGCTTAATAATGGGGTTGGAGGATAGGGGAACTACATCATCCAACACAATAAAAGCTGGCATGTCTAAGATTCTTGGTGATCTCTCAAGGCCCCCGGACCCTATGAATGAGGGTGCTACTGCCATATCTAATCCTCCAAGAAATGTTCATGTCTTTTATGATGAACCTTGTAACACCCCGTATATACCCCCGATTTGTTATCATATCATCGTATTAAGCAGCACTTAATAAAAATGCGGAACTAACTTTTTCTTTTCAATTATGACGTCATTATTAATTACCAAGTTGATTATTTAATCTTTTTTCCCAAAACATCGCCTGTATGTAAATTGCAATTAAACAGCTAGCTACATTGAATAACCTCATTACATAAATAAGTGTGTAACTAGTCACGGAACTACAACACGTAGACCGGAAAAATCCTGATAGTTTATACAACTCGAATCTAAATCAACATAGTCAAAACAATGTGGCATGGACAATCCCCATGCTCACTAAATAAGGCAACAAAGTTCAACAGAGTCTCAAATCAAATAACATGATAATAAATATAGAACATGTCAACATCCGAGCATATCATCACAAAAGCGTAAATCTCAACTCAGCTCTGGCTTCCTGCCGCCCAGGTATCAACCCCCGAGTTACCTGAACTTGAAAATGTGCCCCAAACGTGGGGTGAGATCTCTAAATAGAAATCACAGTAAGACAAGAGGTCCTCAAGGATCTCTCCACCCCAAGCTCAATTACATGTGCAATATAAGTTCTAAAAGCAGTATAATAATATAAGTTCCAAAATCAATGCAATGCAGCATAATATCATGTCATGTGTGTCACAATCCTACTGGCCAGAGAAAAATGCAAGAATTACATACGTCTATAACCTACAATCAGTGCAAGACGCCACTTGCACTCCACTCACAGAATCACCATCTTGTATGACCCCACATACTCAGGCTTACCGTCTAGGGGGAACAACACATGCATATCATAAAGCACTTGCACTTAACAACTCAACAGCATTTTAAATATCAATACATGAAAACACATCATGCATATAAACCATGTATGGTGGAACCAACAATGGCTAAACCGAGGACACGAAAGCTTACCTCCTAAGCAATCAATCCAAGCCAAGTTCACACTAGCTCAATGTCACCAAACAGCACAATCACAGTCTGTTTATACAATAAATAATCATTAATATTCATTGTCCGAGGTTCCATTAAGTGATTAAGGCTTTCCAACTTGTTTTAGGTGATTTCAAGCAAATTCTGCAGGAGGTATTTGAATACTCCTCGATGAGTATTCGAATACTCCATGTCTCCAGAAAGTATCTGAATACTTTCACTTAAGTATTCGAATACCACATGGTATCCGAATACTTTCCCAACAGTATTCGAATACTACTCAGTATTCGAATACTACACTATGGTATCCGAATATTTTTCTTCCCAGAAAAGTATCCCAATACTCCTTCAATGAGTATTCGATTACCTGCTGATGAGTATTCGAATACTCCACGAAAAGTATTCGAATACTTATCAGACAAAATGCAGAAACTCGAGTTGTTTACTGCATAATCCTATTTTTAAGTGTCCAAATGCGATTGGGAGTCCAATAACTCCACAAACAGAGGTTCATTAACATCTTTTAAGCATAAATTATTATTCATTAACTCAAATGGTTCAAGTTTCCTCATTGAGTGGCTTAATCAAGTTAAAATCATGAAAATACAAAGGAGGTGATCATGGTATACCTCAAGTGTCTCAAACTCAAAAAATGACATTAACTTGGAGCCTCCAACACAGCCCCAAGGTTCTGACTTTCAAGGACCACAAAAATGCACCACAAGCTTGGACCTTTTTCTAACACAATGGCTTCTTGAAGCCTCCAATGGTATGAACAAGGCTCTCACCCTCTCAACCAAGGTGGACAGCAACACCACACCCCTCACAAGGATGACACTCAGAAATGGGACACTACACTCCCTCACACTACCCACTACTCAGTGTTTACATGATCAAAGAGGGAGAATCAAGGTAAAAGGTGTGTTCTTGGTCCATTCCCATGCATAAAGGTCAAGACTTCAAGATGAGAAGGGTGGTGGCAAGGGGAGGCACTCAGCTGCTGAGCAACTCACGTAGGAAGCCAATATGGCCAAGGGTTTTGGGCCAAAATGGGTATTTATAGCCCGTTTAAGTTTAAACACACTGTATTAGCACCAATAGCTACGCTTATCATTTTAATCCCAAACTTTGGATCTGAACCTAGCCAATTTTCTAAGATTTTTCATATTTTTATTTTATTTTTCGCAGCACTTTGCCGGTACGCGCTTTTACATAGCCGGTATCAGTTCTGACACCAATTCTCAATATATAGACTCTAAACTTGTTATAATAGTCCTATATATACACACTTTTCATAATTTTTCGGGATACTTCATCGGTACGCATTTATACCGTGGAGCAGAATCAGTATCTGCACTTTTCGTCAGAAAAGTGGCTTTCAGCATTAATACTCACTTACTATAATTATTTAAGCCTTCTCATAATTATCAGGGTCAATTATGGAATTATCTCATTAGTCTCATAATTAATTAAATTCCTAAATTAACAGTGCAGATTCTTACAAACCTCAAGAAAAGTCCATGATGGTGGAACCAGCGCAGGCAGCTACCAATAACACCGCAATTTTGAAGGAGTCCTCTCCAATAGAAATGCCAAGTGATGGTATCATTAATCTTTGATGGACCTGAATCTGTTTTTATCATCTATTCTGATTTGTAATTTTGTTTTTATGAATATTGTAACATGGAATTGTAGAGGGGCTGGGAAAAAGGAGTGCCCCCTTATTAGAGATTTAACTTCCCGTTTTAAGATCAGCATCTTGGCCCTCCTAGAGACCCGTCTTGGAGGAGACCGAGCAAAGAAAGTGGCTAAGTCTTTAGGTACAACAAATATTTATTTTATCTTTATACCCTTGCTTTTCTTTATCTTTTCCTTTAAGTCCCAAAAGCTTTTTCCATTTAGTAAAAATCTAGGTACAACGAATATACCAAAGGTTTTCTCCATATATTGAAATAAGGTCAACAAACAAATATATATATATATATATATATATATATATATATATATATATATATAATTAGGGATAGGTTATTCTACATACTCTTATTTTTCCTACCTTTGTTTACCCCTCTCAATACCATTAGATTACAATCTCATCCAACGGTGGAGATTTACGATATAAAATAAACTCTTTTATCCCTTTTTCTCTCCCACTGCCTCTGACTCTTTCTCTCTCCTCCCCTTTCTCTCTCTTCAATGGCGCTTCAGCATAAAAAAAAGATACAAGCTTTTTTCTCAATTCATCCAGCCTAGCCATTGTTATGAGCATTTACAAAAAAAATTGAAATGGGGTGTCAAGAATAAACAAACCCAGATGCCCTATGTTATGGAACTAGATAGGCCTGTTTTTGGACGTAACATAGAGAGAACAAAAATCATTTTCCCACTTCAAGGTGAAAAACAAGATAAGAAGAAGCAGATAAGTTGATTCGATTTCAAATTTCAACAGCAAAGTAGAAACGTTACTGTAATCGTGGATTAATTCAAAGGACGGGATTATTCGTGGTTTTCATTTTTTGTATTTTTTTGGTTTCTGCAGGGTTCAATTATATCATATTCAAGGAATTTTGAAAATTATACTCATCCAGCAGAATTATCATGCCATTAATCATTACATGGATTTAGATTCAAATATAAATTTAAATTATAAATTACGCAAATCGATAGAGAAAGGGACAGAGAGAGAAAGAGTGTGGGAGGTAGTTAGGAGAAAGAAAGGGAAAAATAGTTTATTTTATTCCACAAATCTCTGCCTAGATGAAATTGTAATCTAACGGTGTTGAGAGAGATAAGCAAAGGTAGGCAAAATAAGAATGGGTAGAATAACTTATCCCATATAATTATGTTAGAAAATATGTTCTTAAAATTTTTAAAATGTTGTATATTAAGAAATTATACAACTAGGATGCTATGGCTCACAATTTAATGACTTTTATTTTTTTAAAATATTTCATCATAAGTTTTACTTTTTTGGTGTTTTTGATCATGAGTTTTATTATTCACATTTCCCACAGAATTCTTTATAATAATAATAATAATTAAATATGCAAACATAATAACATTTAAGATACGCCGTCTATGAGTGTAAATGATAGAGTTGCAAGAAATTGGAATTGCATGTGGGTTTGTTGTCATTTTTTATGAAAATTAAATGATGTTTTAATGTCACAAGTGACATATATGTCACTGTCAAATTTATTGTCTGATTATATGATACAATCTATATCCTGTAGAAATCTATGATCTTGATTTAAATTGTAGCAGTTTCTTATTTTAATTGTCATTTAATTGTGAGAGATGTATTACTTGTAACACTAAGGAATTGTCCAATGTTCATAATAATCTTGTTCTGATAAGCGAAACAAGGATAAGCCCCAAGAGACAGCGAAGATGAAAAGAAAAGAAAAGAAAGGCTCCTTGACAATCGGACAAGAAAGAGACGATCCGGATTCCCATTCTTAGAATGCCTGCATGACGATTGACAAACAGAAGCGCTATTACTAGTTTGACTTTAATTAGCTATCACAACAAGTCAACAACAAAGTAATTTAGTAAACAACCTTTGAATTGCCCACATACTCTTCATTCATTCTACACTACTGCTGCTCCAACATCAACAAAGTTATTTAGTACACTGCTTTTTTGAATTTTAATTAATTAATTTTGTTTAACCTTATGTTAACTTCATTTCCTCTCCATTGTCCAGCAATGCAATCTCATTATCACAAAATTCCAAGTTTTCCAACCAATCGAACTCCAACGGCGGAAACTCTAGCTCCCCAAAATTGGTGACCGAGTTGGCAGTTTTGTCCTCACCAGCAACCGTGTCCAATGTCACCGAGCTGTTGTTGGAAGCTGAAATGCCGCTGCCAGTGGCGGCAATAATTGACGGCTCCGCCTGCTGCAAGAGCCATGCAATGGTCTCGCCGTCTGTGTTCTTGCCTAGCTCACGAGTGAGTTGAAAGATACGAGCAGCACACATTGTTGATAACCGAACACGACGGTCTCGCCCATTCACCTTCGAGTGCCTGTCCTTCTTCGTTTTGGAAGGAGGTGACTTGGTTTTCGCTGCTGTGGGAACTTGTTTCCCTGAAGAAGAATCAAAACCAGGTTGAACCCTCTCTGTACTGGTGCTCTTCACTGATTCTGAATCCATTGTTTTTGTGATCCTCTTTTGATCATCCAGTTCCACTAACAGGTTTTATAAACACTGGTTTCGGAGGGTCCGTGAATTTAAATAAGGGAAAAATATTTGTCATTTTGTAAAGAGGAGAAAATATAAAAAAACTACTATATATGCAACAAAACACAATAATTTTATTTAAAATGATACAAATTTATGTCCTCTAAAATGAAAAATATTTTCTCCAATAAATAAATATAAATAAACAATTCAAAAGGCAGGGATTTGACCGCAAAAAGTTTCTTTTGAAGTTTCGAAATGAGATTTAATCTGAGTCAGTGCATGATCTGTGTTTGAATTTCTGGATCTGCCATAATAGTAAAGTCATTAATGCTTCTTCTTGTAACCCCCTAGATGAAGTAATTAAGCCTTCAATCCAATCTGACACCATAGGTTTGAAAATTATTTCAAACAAATTATTGGGGAAGTGTATCCTTTCTTGTTAAAAATTTACATGATCTGGTCACGTGAAATTTTCATATTTATCTCTTTCTTTTTATATATCAAATAAGTAAGATCTAATTATAATTTATCACTAAGAAATAAATACAAAAATTTCACATGACCCTTTCATGTGAAATTTTAACTTAAGAGGATCTTCCCAAATATAGGTGTATTTGGAGAAGACCAGGTGGTGCATTTTAGGAAGGTGAGTGAAACTAGCAGTTACCAATGCGGGAATAAGGCATGAAAAGCATATTGCAGTCACCTCTTTCGAACTTTCAAGAATTCTTAGCTGTCTTCCTATATGGAAATCATCTCTAGTTCTCTACCCACTCCATGAATATCCCCAAATCTATTACTTTAAAAAATACTATTAAGACAGACATATTGACTAGGCAATCATGGTTAAAAAGTGAGAAGACTTTTTTTTTTTGGTCTTTCACCAGGTCCTCACATTCTTTGGGCATCTCACCCTCTGAAAACTTGACACCAATCACATGACAGCAAGTTTATTGAATTATCTAGCATTTCATGGAAGGGAATGAAAAAACTGCATTGGTAGAAAGAGCTAGTGCTTTTTTGGATATCACTCTAGAATTACTTCTAGAGGTCCAAAGTTATTCTGGCCCGAGATGCTCTCGTATTAAAAATATTTGGAACCTTTATCTCACAGACCAAATTAACGTGTTTGACTGTCAAACTCAACAAAGTCAAGCAGAGAACATTAACACTAACTTGGCACACCGCGTGGTTCTCTATACAGCAATCAGCATACTTCGGGCCTCTAATTTCAAGCCACATATAAATGCGCCTAGGCCAACCATGCAAAGGACTGATGATTACCTCCAATTTCCATATCTGGGAACTGGGACGGAGGAATGCAGCTAATGGAACACCATCAGTATTCTTTTGATATTCTGCATTTCAGATAGAGGGCAAAACAAAACTCCGTGGTTCACCAAAATAATGTGTCACGCTACTCTTTTCATTGGGTTTTCTTCCAACATCTCTTCATCACAGTTGTGTGGAAGAGTAAAATCTGGCACCTCCTCAATATCATCTGCAGGCTAATAATGTAAATGCGCAAGTAATACAGTTAGCAAAACATACATAAGCTGAAAATGTCACACACATCCAAGACCACCAGCCTACCTGCCATAGTTCCAATAGCTGCCATAACAAAAAACCAACAATCATAACCAAGCAAAATAGCTTGCCTGCCCATGCTCCACAAAAGAGGTACCTAAAAGAACAGAGACTATCAACACCGGTAGAAGTATCTCCTTAATTCGACACAGCAACAATGTTCTAATAATATTAAACTGACATCAATCTTTGAATAAAGAGGAAAATCTATACACAATAATCAGATGCACGTTCCTCCTTCTAAATTAGGCATCAATGTTACACCTGAATTCCTATCCCCATAAAAATAATTGTGAGGATTGTAGGGCAGAGAAATAAAGATCCCAAAATACATTGCATTACCAAGTATCAAGCAGCTTATGTTACAAGCAGATTAAAAAATGTTATGCTAGTGTAATTAACAAATTCATATAACTAAAACTGATTGAACAGTGGACGTCTTATTACAACTATTAACTATATGTTACCATTACAATCGAACTGAACCTCTGATGTTTAGAGTGTACCGTGTGAGACGTTCTAATAGATTTTGATTGGAGCACTTCAAAGCACGGTCATATACAATTGTGGTCCTTTTGGCAACGTCATGCCAGTTGTAGAGTTCCCTCATCTACAAAAGATACATAAACAAAAAGGAATCAGTTCCCCCACTATATGCATCAGAGAAAGACTATTTAAACAACAAACTCACTCGATTGTGCATGACTTGTGGATCAATTTTTGGCAGCATAGATATAGCCCTTTGAACTGCATGCACCATATCACCGGGATCAGGTTCTGCCAAAACAATCATGTCATCTGGCAAAACCTATATAAAAAGAAGTGAATCTATATCAAGCCCCTCAAGGCAGCATTCCAAAATTGTGGAATTGGAAAGAAACTGAAGTCATAAACCAAATTCTCAGACAAACTTTATATAAAGCTTTGTTTCTCACACTGAACAGGTATAGAAGGAAAATCTGTTTCACCTACCTCAGGAACTCCTCCAACACGTGTGCTGACTGTTAACAATCCACAACTAGCAGCCTCTAGAATGGCTATACAAAAAGCTTCTGTTAAGGAGCTGAAACAGTGCAAACATCATTAATGATTGAAAATAGATATGCACTGTAACTGGGGCTGATATTGAGAACCCCAACATCTCACACAAGCTCTGAGAACTGCTCAACTTACAGAGTTAGACAAAAGGATTATAAACTCATCATTGCAAAACTTAAAGAAAGGAGAAATTTGCCAAGGAAGCTAAACCTGTTTAAGAAGATATGCCCAGATACTAGAACGGATTGGACTTGTGCATGTGGCACAGCTCCCAACATTTCAACTCGATCTTGAAGAGAATGCTTTTCTCTCATCTCTTCCAACCGTACACGCTTAGGTCCATCACCTCCAATAATGAAACGAACCTTCCAAAAATATGTAAGTTAGGCCTTTGAAAGACTAGAATTAAAATTCCAATTCATTTCCGTAGCATTACATATTTTCTTGGTGAACTATTTAGTAAGGACATCTATAAAGTGTCACGCTGTTCAGCTAAAAAGGCCAAAGACAGTGCTATCTGTCAACAGATAAAAAATTTACATCAGTGCCGACACATACTTTAACATTGCCAAAAATTCTTGATGTTCAAAAGATCGCTATATATCCATATACTAACTGTTTGTTTGAATGCAGACCCGAGCAAATGCTAATTCAAATGTTTCCCCCCTTTCTTTTGGGACAGGAACAGGGGAGGATATAAGCTTCTCAGTCTATTTAAGCATAAATTTTGAAATTTGTTGGTCCCTCATGCATGTTCAAGTTAGCTGATAAAGACTCATTGCCAACAAGTATATATGACAAAAAGAGCAAAATTATTCTTTTACTAACATTCTGATACTACTCTTTTTATTATTATAGAGAAAAAGAGATCAAAATAGTACAGAGGAGACTTTCTTAATCCAAGGGCACTCCCTTTTTTCTCAGACTCAACTTATAACTCTTGCTTTTCACTAAAAACACACAATCTCTATCTATGTATTCAAGTTCCCCTCCAAAGAAAAGGTAACAAAACAGAATTGGCAACAAATTAAATTACAAAATCAAATCAGCAAAATTTGTAAACTGAATAAAATCAATGACCCAAATAAGTAATAAATTATTGACCACACATGGAAGAAATTTGAAGGATCGTATTATACCAATACTCGGCCCAAGGAAAAAATTCAACCACACTTTGGGCTGCTCAAAACAGAAACAATGCAAGTAGGTCTTTAAGGTTCGATTAATTACCTCCATTTGCCCATCGGTTTCAGGGTCATAAGCAATATTAAATTTAAGAGTGGTGCCCTACAACCTGAAAAGCTCTTGCCAGAATTTACTAATGAATGTTCGATCCCGATCACTAACAATACTTAAAGGAATGCCAAGTAATCGAACCACCTCCTTAACAAAAACTTTTGCAATACTCCTTGCTGTGAATGGATGTTTCACCATGATAAAATGAGCATACTTGATCAATCTATCAACCACAACTAGTATAGTATCAAACCCCTTTAATCTTGGCAGCCCCACAATGAAATACGTACTCGGTTCCTCCCAAATAGCATTTGGAATGGGCAACGCTGAAGCAAACAGGCAGGAGAAGAAGTTTGATACTTACTCCGTTGGCAAACTTGGCAAGTAGCAACATATGCAGCCATTGTCCCTTTCATTCCTACCCAAAAAATGGATTGAGCCAATCTTCTAAACGTTTGAAATACACCAGCATGTCCTCTAGAAGGAGATGAGTAAAATTCATGAAGTAATTTGGGAATCTAGGTTGAAGTAGAAGCAAGAACTAACCTCCCTTTGTAAAATAGTCTCCCTTCCTCCAGAGTGTATTGTGGGTGAGAATTTGGATCGCTTTCCAAGTCAGCCTTTATCTTCAGGCAAAATAGGGTCTCTAAGCACTTCATCATCTAAACTAGAAATGTCCTGCCAAAAAGGCCTATAAATGGCCTGTAACTCTTTGTCCTCCTCCCTCCTTGATAAAGCGTCAGCCACCTTATTATTTAACCCCACCTTGTAAACAGTGTCACACTGATAACCTATAAGCTTGGCCAGCCAATGTTGTTGATCTTCAGTTGTCACTCGTCGCTCTAAAAGAAATTTTAAACTCCTTTGGTTGATGTAAACAGTGAATCGCCTCCCCAAAAGATATGGCCACGAATGTTGTATAGTCAAAACAAGAGCCATTAACTCTTTCTCATATATAGATTTGAAAAGAGTAGCAGGAGCTAAAGCCTTACTAAAACAAGCAATTGGATGCTTGTCTTGCATCAAAACTGCCCCCACCCCCTCACCCGAAGCATCACATTCTATAATAAATGGCTTTGAGAAATCTGGTAAGGATGGCTGTAACCATAGACTGTTTCAAAGCATAAAAAGAATCCTTTGTTGAATTGGACCACTCAAAATTGCCCTTCTTGAGCAAGGCAGTTAAGGGCTGAGCCAACTTCCCATAATTTTGTACAAACCTAATGTAGTATCTAGTGAGCCCCAAAAAATCACGAAGAGCCTTAATGGTCTTTGGAGTAGGCCATTGCAGTATGCTTTTAATCTTCCTTGGATCCATGGACACCCCTTTGTTGGATATGATATGCCAAGATAATCATGGACTGCTTCCCAAAACTGCACTTTTTGAAATTTGCAAAAAATTTGGCTTGATGTAAAGTGCCTAACACCTATTCCAAATGCTCTAGATGTGCCTCCCACGATGGGCTATAAACTAAAATGTCATCAAAGAACACAAGGACGAACTTACAAAGATAAGGCTGCAATGTCGAGTTCATAGCATGTTGGAATGTTGTCGGGGCATTAGTAAACCCAAACGACATCACCAAGTACTCAAAATGCCCTTGGTGCGTTCTGAAATATGTTTTCAGGATATCTTGCTCAGCCATCCTTATTTGAAGATGGCTAGAATGCAAATCGATATGTGAGAAATACAAAGCTCCATGTAACTCATCCAAAAATTCTTCTATCACGGAATTGGGAACTTACCGAAATTGTAGCCCGATTAAGAGTTCTATAGTCCACACATATCCTTTAACTGCCATCCTTTTTCTTTACAAAGATCACCGTGCTTGAAAAGGGGTTGTTACTGACTCTAATTATACCAGAACTCAGCATTTCACTCACTAGTTTTGGTATCTCATTTTTATTTCAATTAAGGGTATCTATAGGGTTAGACATTAACAAGGTCAGTTCCCTCCTTTAAAGGAATACGATGATCAACTTCTCTGCTAGGAGGAAGCTCATTTAGCACATAAAATGCTGATGTATATTTTTGCAGCAAACCTTTTAATTGAATATTTAGAGAGAAGACAATTCATCACCTTCCATGCGCTCCACACTTCCCAAATATGAATAAGCTGCCGAAAACACTAGCACCAACGCAGCTTCTTCCACGTCTATTTTTTTTATAGCGCCTTAGCTAAATTAAGGAATGAGAAAGGGTAGGATCTCCAAGCTAAATTAAGGAATAAGTTACTGACCAGCGCATCTTAGGAGAAGAACAGCAGAAATGGGTCTCCAAGCTAGGATACGACTTTGAAATTCAATATCAACCGGGTAAGGAGAATAAAGTAGCGGATGCCTTGTCATGGAATCTACAATGCTTTTCCCTTTCCTGTGTAGATGTGAGTAAATATGATGCCCTGGAGCAGGAGTTACAAGAGGATAATCGAATGAAAACCATCATTAAAGACTTGCTGATCAACCCACAGTCACATTCCGGGTTCAGCCTCCATGGAGGGAGTTCGTATCATCAAGGCAGATTGGTATTAGCTAAGAATTCCAATTTCATTCCATTGGTATTGCATGAGTTTCATGATTCTTATATGGGAGGGCATTCTAGGTTTCTGCGAACGTTGAAGAGGGTCAACAGTGTGGTCTATTGGGAAGGCATGAACAGAAGTATTAATGAATATGTGGCCTCTTGCTCGGTTTGTCAACAAAATAAAGTTTCTACGCTGTCTCCGGCTGGGCTTCTACGGCCACTGCCTATCCCTACAAGCACGTGGACTGATTTGTCTATGGACTTTATTGGAGGTTTGCCTAAGGCTCACGGTTTTGACACAATTTTTGTGGTGGTGGACCGCCTCTCTAAGTATGCTCATTTCATTCCTCTCAAGCATCCTTATACAGCCAAGGTAGTTGCATTATTGTTCATCAAAGAAATTGTCAAATTACATGGTTTCCCTTCCTCCATTGTAAGTGATAGAGATAGAGTTTTTCTTAGCTCTTTTTGGTCGGAGTTGTTTCGTTGCAGTGGTACTAAGTTGAAGTATAGCACCTCTTATCATCCACAATCTAATGGGCAGACGGATGTAGTAAATCGTTGCTTGGAAGATTACCTACGGTGTTTCTGTTCACCTAAACCCAAAACGTGGCCCTCTTGGTTGCATTGGGTAGAATTTTGGTATAATACAACCTTCAAGACGGCCACGGGTACCACCCCCTTCAAGGCAGTTTATGGTTCTGAACCACCAACCCTGTTTCGGTCCAGTTTTGCAATTTCTCCAGTTGATGAGGTATCTACGCTGCTGCAAGATCGTGATTTAATTTTACATGAATTACAACAACATCTGTTGGTTGCTCAGAGTAGGATGAAGGCACATACAGATCAGCATCGCAGGGATGTTGAATTTCAAATTCATGACATGGTTTACCTCAAGCTTCAAGCATACAGATTAAAATCTTTGGCTAAGAAATTAAATGAGAAACTTAGTCCACGATTTTATGGCCCTTATGAGGTGGTGGAGAGAATTGGAGCTGTGGCTTATCGATTACTCTTACCATTGGAATGTAAAGTCCATAATGTGTTTCATGTTTCACTCCTAAAAAAGCTATATCACCTACGGTTCAGGTCCAGCCACTTCCTCCCATGTTGAATGAGGATTGGGAACTCGTTGTGCAGCCCGAAGATGTCCTTCAGTGGCGAAGAAATTCCTTGGGACGAATAGAGGTCTTGATTAAATGGCTACAACTTCCATCCTTTGAAAATTCTTGGGAGGATTCAGCTCAGTTGGACTTTCAATTTCCGGAATTTCACCTTCGGGACAAGGTGAAAATTTTGGGGGGAAGTATTGATAAGAATCCTATTAAGGTGTATAGTAGAAAGCGTCACGGGAGATTAATTCCCACTGCTGACTCAGAGGAAAGAAGGCAAAATGGAGGTGTGGGTGCTGAGAGAAATTCTGTCAGGGAGAATTCGGTTATTGTGGGCCAGGCTGCTGACGTGGAGGGGTGCATTTCAGGTGGTTACATAAACAGAGCAAATGAAGGATGATGGAGGGGGCAAATTGGGAGTTCTTGGGAGAGATCAGTGCCTCTATAATTGCACTGAATTTATTAGTTATTTCTCTGTAATTGTCTCTTTAAAGCTTTAGATTGAAAGTTCACTGTACTAGAATTTTACTCTTCGTAGATAAATATAAAGAAAATCCAGGTTACTGGGCCAAATTCCTTGTGTGCTGCGTTTATATTCTGATATACTTTGCCAGTCTTATCAGATCTCCTAGAATTAACACTAGTTGTCTGTTGTGAACAAAAGACATGGCTAAAGTTCTCCACTTGAATTTTACTTCCCCTAACGTTTCCAACCAAGCCATCCTTAAAATGAGGTCCACTCCACCCAAATCAAAAATAAAGAAATCCCCTCTGACTTCATGTTCCCTCAATGTCACCACCTTGAGACATTTTCCTCTGCCCATCCCCCAATCGAACCCTAAAAGAGGAATTTGAAGATGGGAAAAGACATGATCGATCTACTAATGTTCATTGTCTTAGGTGAAATCAACCCACTAGCTGAAATATACAACAACCGAGCCATTGAAGTTCAGACACCATCCCATAATCCATAGAAGCCAAATCCCCTTCTCCGTCACAATTAGTAATCCCATCTTCCCCCCAAAATGCACAATCAAAGATTTTTCTTTGGGCAACGATGACTGGGACCAAAAGGCAGCCCACAGTGAAAACATTTCCCCTCGTTTCTGCGTTTAACAAATTCATCATATGACAACCTAATTCCTTTATGATAAGAAGTTGGCATCGTACGAACCTAAAAAAGCCACCCCTTTGGTCAATGTGAACTCACTTTTTTCAAAAATCTTGTTTGGTGCCCTTGTTACAAGATTGGGCCTAGGCCCATTATTTTTTAAAAAAAATTCCCTGACCCCACCTTGTGACTCAGAAATTGTGTAAGAAGACGGTTTTGCTCCTCTTCCCACAAAATGTCGCACACCACTTGCTAATGAACGCGACGCAAAACTACTATGGCTATACAGTCGGAGGTCCTCCTTAATACTTCGCGCTAGCTTCATTGCCTGATAAACTGCACTTGAATCTTGAATTTTAATCTTGCTGCAAATTTCAAGTTGTAGAACCCCAAGAAAATATCCCAAAGCCTATTTTTGGTCCAATATCGCTAACTTGAGCCACTAGAGACTCAAACTCAAGAATGTAGTCTTCCACCTCCCCACCTTGTTGCATGGTGGATAATCATTCATAGATGTTCCCATGAGAACTCTCACCCGAACCTCTGAATCATGGATGTCACGAGTCCCTCCCATCCAAGATTAGGAATTGTTTTGCTTGACGTACCTGAACCAATGAACAATCTTGCCCTCTATAGTGACAAAAGCCATGTGACCTTATCAGATTGGGGCTTTTCTTCGATCCCAAAGAACTTTTCAAGCCTTGCAATCCAACCCAAAGGGTCGGAACCATAAAAAATTGGAAACTCCACCTTGTGTGCCCTCATTCTCCAAATATTGACGAACCAAACACCTTTGATTCGCTTCCCACACCATCACTAGAATTAGAATTCCCACTCCTTTCCATCCACACTTTCAGCATTGACCAAACTTCAAACTTCAAACTTCTTCAAACCCATCAAGTTTCACGTCAATAGATTCCACCTTGTTGCTGGTTTCCAATCGGAGTCGCTCAATGGCACCCTTTAACGCTACCACGTGACGTTCTAGATCACCTTATTGACCCAAATAAGGAATAAATTATTGACCAAATCAATAATTTATTAATGATTTTCGCTCTTCTTGTGTAAACCCTCCAGATTGTGAGTTTAATAGTAGCAGTTGTATCACATTCCTACGAGCCCTATGTAATTATTCATCATGAAAGCAGGACTATCTTCCTCGGTAAAATCCCCATTCATTTTTCTTGGAGATCATCTTGAATTAGTCTCCCACATGGAACCTATTTTCCATCAAATTTGTTCAGGTAATTCTCTAATTATGATCAGAAATCAATGTGGAAAGAACGCATTAGGGAATGCTGTGGCTTTGCAAAAGATGCTGATTTGATGTTGCAGAACGTTGTTTAAATTAAGTATCTAAAATTACAAAAACAGATATTATTTTATCAAGCATAAAATTAGGAAAGGAGAAAGTTAGAATTTAAGAAAAGGTACAAGTTCTTTAGATATGGCATATATTTGATAGCCAACTGCAGCCCTGAAAAGCAGCCCTTAGGCTGTTCTCAAAAGCATCTATAACTTGTACAGAGCAACAGAAGAAGCACCAAAGAAATTTTACCAAACAAAAATTTGCAACTTTAAGCACCATAATAAAAACCCAAAACATTCCCACAAGGGCATTAGCATAACAACATTGTCTTCATGTTAGACAGAACTCAAGACCCAAATTTCCTAATTATGCATGAAAAGCTATTAATGTTTTCATCAACTCACATTGGAATGTAATCGGCATACTTCTGGAATGACCTCAACAAGCAAATCTACTCCCTTCCGATAAACCAATCGGCTGATAACAACAATCACGATTTCCCGTCTGCTGGGACGCTCCAATGCTGGCTTGAACATGGTAGTATCAACAGCATTAGGTATTACAAAAACCTTCTCTGGTGGCAAACCTGACCTCAGCACCGTGTTTTCCCTGCTTGTATGTGAAACACATATGGCTTGACTCACATCTGCCAAGGTAAACTGCAACACCTTGTTCATGTGGATGCTTCCGACATCAGCAAAACCATACAGCGAATGATCTGTAAACACAACCTTGTATCCCATGGTTCTCGAATGCATAAGAGCTTCATGACAAAATGTTGAAAATGCTTGATGTCCATGAACTATAGTAATTCTTTCTCTAATAAGGATAGTTCTTATAATTGGTAGTAACCCATAGAAGGTGGGTAATGTATTCTGCATAACGAATGGCCTCCATGGAACATAATAGACTTTCAGACCACCGGTCATATATCTGACCCCAGATCGATTTCCATAAGCGTGAGTTACAACCACCACCTGAGTATTCATTTTCTTTTAATTCACATTTATTACAAACAACCTCAGCATAATTAAGAAAAATAAAAGTAAATTACTCTCCTCCCCCCTATATTTTGCATTTACTATTATATAAACCTACACAAACTCTCATGTACAATTTAAATCCGAAATGCTATGAAACCTAATAAATTCGTTAATTAAACCGTTAGAAAATCGAATCCCCAAAAAATAAATAAATTTATTGGCTGACCTTGTGGCCTAACTTGAGCAAGCATTGTGAGAGATAATATATGTGATTCTCCACACCACCAAAGTTGGGATAGAAAAAATCTGAGACCATCAGGATTCGATGCTTTTGGGGATCACTCATTATGTCACCTCGCACTCCGATGACTGCAGCAAAATACAACAACAATAAGAAAAGAGATCGCAAGCTATAGCGAATATCTTTCGATTTCACCAGTGATAGGAACTGCGATACTTTGCTGAGTGTGAAGACATGAAGGCTCTGCAAAGTGTAAACCCTAACACAATCGAGAATGAAAGACAACGAAAGCTAAGAAAACAGTGACTCACCTGCACACTATAGCAAGACTCCGTTTGTATTCATGTTGATTTCGTTGATGCCAAATAAAATGCTTATTAAATGAATAAAGCTTCAAGTAGCTAGTAATAGTATCTCTCTTACTAAATATTTGATAACAGAATCCTTACCAAAAAAAGAATTTGATAACTGAAACAAAATTTATAGATCGCTTGGCAAAGGAAGCTCTTTCAACCGAAGGGTTCTGTCAGTACAATCAGGTTCATAACCCGGACCAGTAAGGCAGTAACCCAAAATCCGTTGACCCTTTTTTAAAAAAAATAAAATAAAAAAGAGTAATGGGCTTGTTGTGTTGTATAATTTTTATTTTTTTAGGTACAAGTTTGTTGTGCAATTTGGAATACACCAATACAAGTTTTGTCATTATACAAAATATTTCATTTATATTCAGATAATTCTACTACATTAGTGAAAAAGGATTTACACATGGAAAAAATGTTTTTTTTTTATTGTAGAAAATTTTGTTTGTCATACTCATCTAAATTAATATTTTTTCTCTCTTATTTTTTATAATGGAACTCACTCATTTTTATGTTAGTGGTGAAAAACTTTTTCTGCACAAAAACATACACATTAAATAGAAACTGTTGTAGGATATTCAAATTATCCGTAGCATCCTCCTTCCCCATCCTCAGGATGGTTGTGATCAGTTTAGATGGAATGTGTCTGGCCATGGACAGGTTTCGGTTAAGGCCATCTATAATTTGTTAGCTGGTCATGCAAGTGGGGTGTCATTGTATTCTAATATCTGGAAGTCCATTTGGGATTGGAAGGGTCCCCATAAAATTCAAGTCTTCATATGGAAGGTGGCTCATGGTAGATTGCTAACGAATTTGAGATTGAATCATCTTCATATGGGGGAGGCTCTTTGCTGTATCTGTCGTGTGGAGGATGAGTCAGCCATTCATGCTCTAAGAGACTGTTTCTGTGTTAGTGGTCTATGGATCCAGTTGGGTGCTAACAGGTATTGTCCGAATTTCTTTAGTTTGGATATAAATTCTTGGTTGTTATCCAATCTTCAAGTTACTTTGGTAGATGTTAGTGGTGTTCCTTGGAATATCATTTTTGCAGTTACCGTTTGGCTAGTTTGGAGGTGGAGAAATGATACGTATCATGGTAATCAGTGCCTTCCTTATGCCTATAATAAGCAATTGGTTGATTCTCGAACGATGGAAATCTGGAATGTGTCCAGAAAAAAGAAGTCTATTGTTTCTTGCTCTAGAAAGGAGGAGATCCCCATTGCCTGAAAGTTTTCAGACGAAGGATGGGTGAAGTTAAATACTGATGGAGCTGCCAAAGGTAACCCAAGACCGGCTGCGTGTGGAGGGATTTTTAGAGATAGTACTGGTCTTTGGCTTTCTGGTTTTTCCTATAGAATCAGTCATTGTACTGCTATTATGGCATAATTATGGGGTATCTTAAAAGGAGTACAACTGGCTTGGGATAATGGTTGGAGGAAATTAGTAATTGAAAGTGACTCTTCAACAGCGGTCACGTGGCTTACTGCTAGGAGTAAGTCAGCCTGTGAGTCTCATATTGTTACTCGTATACGGGCTTGGATGAATAAAGAGTGGTAATCAAGCACACGTATAGAGAAGGAAACTGATGTGCGGATTGGTTGTCTAATCTTCCTTTATTAAATCCGGATGTAGAAGATTTTAGTATTTTCCCATCTCCCCCCTCTGGGATTTGCTTTTTGTATTTAGCTGATTTAGGTGGTTTCGGTGAAACTCGATGTATTTGGCTTGATTAGTATTGTTCCTATTGGGGTTTTTTTCCCCTTCAAGTTACCAAAAAAAAAAAAATAGAAACTGTTGTACCTATTTTACCCAAAAAAATGATAATTTTACATTTATGACTTAAGTTTATTTTTTTAATCACGAAAGATTTGTGGATAATAATTAATTTGAAAAATTCAAATAAAATGTTAATAGTTGATATAGTCAAAGTTAGAATTTATTTAGATAACCATCATAAGAAAAAATAATTATTTGGGGTTCGCTTTTTCTACGGTCAATGTAGATAACCTATCTACATTGAGCCCAAAACGACGTCGTTTTGAGGCGAAAATCAAGGTATTTTTGTAATTATAATTTATTTCAGGGTTATAATAGTCTTTTTCATTATAATTTTTTAATTTTTCAACCCAAAACAATGTCGTTTTGGGAGCGATAGAAACATTAAAGCCTTCTTTTAAATACTTAAATTTAGGTCAAAACTCAAAACAAAAAATTGTCTTTTAAATTACGCAGGGAGGAATGTAGTATTAGATGAGTTTGGAAGTACTAAAGTTGTTAATGATGGAGTGACTGTTGCTCGGGCTATTGAGTTAGCTGATGCCATGGAAATGCTGGTGCAACTCTTATTAGGGAGGGAGGTAATCTCTATCTTCTCTGGATCTTCCCCCCTCCTTTAAAGGACAAAGAATGGAAGAAAGACATATTTCTTTTTGAACCTTCTATATTGTTCAATTATTGATTTTAAGCTATGCAATAAAACAGTAATTGATAAAGGTATTGATAGAATGGAAACAGTACATTGCTATTTTAACAGGTATGTTATATCTCCACTTCTTCTAGTTGGAAACATTGGTGAAAATAAAATGGAACAAATTTAGTCTAACCTTAGAGATGTTCTAAGAACTCTATTCAAACTTATAGTCAGCGGTTTCTTGAACGTGCCTGCTGCATTTTATTCTGAAGCATACTAGTTCTGTGATTAATTCTATAGGTTACTGATTTGAAGCAAGATTGTAGTCAATTTTTCAGTCACGTGGCAAGCCTGAAATTCTATCAAGTATATATATTGATGATATGGCATGTGATGTGGATATGATCAGGTTTCTCTTTCACAGTTGGAGGCTTGTATTTCTATTCAAACTAACATTCTATAGTAGGTCACTTAGTTGTTCCCTTCATGATGTCCTGTGTTTCACAGGAAATGGCTGTGATTGACAAGTTTGTACCTTTAACTACCAATCGACATAGTGCAAATGGTGAGAATGCCAATTGATTTTCACATATTGAGGAGTTTGTTATAATACCTCTTCCTCTGAATAATATATAATATGGCTAGGTACTTCAAGAATCCTCCAACATCTCGTTCTTCTTGAAGCTGCAAGTTGTTCTGATCACTTGTGGAAAATAACAAATAGGATGCCCAATTAATTGATCTAGAAATTCTAAAATAGCAAATAGGCTTGTATTTCTAATATTACTAGTGAATTACCCGTGCGATGTCCGGGAGAAAAAGAACAAAATTGTTGTCGCCGTTGTTGGTGTGTCGTCTTACTGGTAAATCCACACGTTGATCTTGATAAGAAACTCTTAATAATAATATCATAATAAAAAATAATTGTATTGTTATAATTTTTAACTTGAAAAGGCTATAGCATTCAGAAAGATAAAAAAGTAAAATAAAATTTTGTAGGATGAAACGTTTAATTGTATCGAGTAACCTTCACGTCCAATTGCAAAAGTGATAAATAGAATAATGTCAATGTAAAAATAATTTAAATGTCATAATGTCAAAACTGCTCACAATTAATAATTCACAAATAACATGATACAATTCGGTGTTCCAGCAAAATATCTCTGACATCAGCCTGCTAACTATAAAAGAAATAAAAACAGTATATGTTAGCTAACATATGATTTAGCAAATAAAGAACAGAAGAACTGAACAGGTAATTGTCAGAAGTATTATTCAATGTGGTTTTTTGCTTTTGAATTTCAGAATCATATTTCAAAAATACAGTATAAAAATAATCAAAATTCAACGCTAATCAACATTTGAAAAAAATATAACTTAAGGAATGCAGATTTTACCTGTACCAAAGAGCAACGTTGTATCCAATCGACAGAAGCAATATAAATTACAGTAATCTCTGAAATACTTCTTTGTAGACTATGTTAAAGGTACTGTTTGTTACACAACCATCATCATCAACTATCAAAATCTTCAATCCCTTTTTGCTCTTTACTCGGGATAGTGCCACATATAATTGCCCATGACTAAAGACTGGCCTGGGTAGATAAATTCCAACATGAGAAAGCGATTGTCCTTGACTGTTATTGATTGTCATGGCAAACGAAACGACGAGGGGAAATTGTCTTCTTTGGAAATTTACAGGAAAAGAATGACTTGAGGAGCTCATTGTCATTCTAGAGATTAACACATTTTCTCCTATATTGCTTCCTGTAAGAACAGTTGCCTCAACCATATGATTGCCTAATCTTGTAATAAGCAATCTTGTTCCATTGCATAAACCTCTTGATTGGCCAATATTTCTTAATAGCATGACTGGAACTTTGACCTTCAAAATTAATTTATGATCCGGAAGCCCAGAACAGGAGAAGGTATTTAAGATCACAGGTGAGAATTCATCATCCTCAAGGGAAGAATTATTGTCTTGCTTCAAAATATTATCTGAACTTAAATATATTCTTTCGTCACCTGGAATCAAAGACATTAAGTTCTCATTTAAAATAGAAACATCTGCCAATTTTGGAGTCAGAATGGCACTTTCTTTAAAGAATGTGGGTTCTAAAATATGATCCAAGATATCAGGGTACACAAAATCCATCAAATCTGAAAGTGAATTCAATGATTTTTTAATCAATAATTCATCTGGAATTGTTATAATAAATTCTCCATCCACATCATCTCCAAGAACACCATCCCCGACTTTAAGAAGCCAATAAGAAAATTCCTTTATTTCCATTAAATTGTGAATGTCACTTCCAGAACTAAGCCGCATGTTCTTGGTCAAAGTTAATAAATGACAATGAGACCAAAGACAAGAAGAATTAATGGTTGCATGGACTATATCTTGTATGCTTCCATGAGGAACAACAGGTAAGATTTGCCTGAAGTCACCCCCAAGAACAACAACTTTCCCACCAAATGGTTTATCAACACAACTTGAATCAGAAAATCTAAGAACATCTCTAAGTGTTTTGTCTAGAGCCTCAAAGCAAAATCTGTGTACTATTGGAGCTTCATCCCAGATGATTAGCTTTGTTTTCGCCAGCAATTCGGCAATATTAGAATCCTGCCGTATATTACAGGTTGAATCCTCAGTGATCTGAATTGGAATACGAAATCTAGAGTGTGCTGTCCGGCCTCCAGGAAGCAAAAGTGATGCAATCCCGCTAGAAGCAACATTAAGTACAATTTCTCCTTTTGATCTAATGGATGCTGACAATGTATTCCAAATAAATGTTTTTCCTGTACCACCAAATCCGTATAGAAAAAAGAATCCCCTTGTACCCACTGAAACTGCTGAAATTATCTTGTCATAGACAACTTTTTGCTCATCTGTAAGGGAACTCATTAGTCTTTTATGTTCTTCAACCAAAAACAATCTGTCATACAGTAATTCATCAAGCACTAAGCGATTGTGCATATCAAGAAAAGATGCACCAGTGATGCAGGGCATTTAAGGGTAATCAGAAAGGCATTTTCCATTACTCTGTAGCACTTTATCAATTTCAGAAAGTTTTGTGTTTTTTATTTGTTCTTCAGTAAGATTTGCATCTGTAGAAACGTGGAAAACAATGAAAAAATGACAATTGAAAGTACAATTCTAACAGGACTCAAGGTACATTATTTTTACCACAAAAAGCGGTATATTCAACAGAAAAAATAATGATAAAAAAAATTATAATGCATATGATATGTTCATAATGAATACCTGGATGTCCTACTGTTGTTCTATGTCGATAAAGAACATCGTCAGAGAGAAATTGCCAACACTTCCCCCAAACATTTTCAGGTCTATTCATTGAGTTACCGAACAACAACAGAGCAAAAAGACGTCTAAGATAAGAAGCTGACTGCCAAGAACTTGCCTCCTTAATTGCATCAATGTATTCATTGTCATCATCCAAAAGTCCAAGAGAATAGCAAGCATCTTTAAATGTTGGAAACATCACCCCATTGATAGTTCTCAGGGCCTCGTAACTTGTGCAACCCATTTTAAAATAAAGAAGCATTCGAAGATAGGAATCTTCTCCACTATTTGCAGAAAAACGATTTATTCTTCCAATTGAGAATCCTTTTTTTCTAGGATGCCATTCTTGACTATTTGCATTATAAACAAAATGAGTTGGATATTCAGCATAAGTAAGATGCCTACCTTCTGGAAATTTTTTATTTGCATCCATCCAACTCTCAAAAATTGATTGTCTAAACTCCTCCCTTGTCTTTACTTCAGATATTGATGCAATATCATGAAAAACAACGGTCTTTCATTGGGTAAGTGAAATGGCAATCTCATCACAGGGGGGTTTCTGTAATGAATTTCAAATCCAAATATTCTCCAAGCTCTTTCACATGCGGATACATACCTATCATAAATAAAGAATTATGTTAAATGAAGTCTAATATAAAAATTAATACATGCACCGTAATTCAAAAGTTAATGGAGATTAATTTCAGTACCTACAATCATAAAACATTTTAATTTCATCATCTGAATGATGTATAGCAGCAGTAACTCTATCATTTCCTTTATGAATGTATTTAAAAAGATATTTAATAGCACTGGTCTGACAGGTATATTCCACATTAATATGAGCCTGGTACTTTAAAAGGAGTTTTGCATTATAAGGCATAACAAAACGATTATCAAGTTCAACACCATTTTTCTTCGCAACCCTCCCATTATCTCTTCTCTTATAATGAGGGAATTCGTCATCATCAATAATCGTACCGGGACAAAAACCCTTTGGAAATTTCTTTGTACACTTTCCCTCCTTCATGCAAGGTGACTTGTAATTGTTAGCACCACAGGGACCATGCATCATGTAACTTGTGACAGCAAGAAAGAGAGAAGGATGAGTTTCCTTGTTAGGAATCTCTGCTAAAATCAATCTATTAATATCAAGTCCACTGTTGGGCTTGTTAGAAGGGTGCAAGAACAACAGAATATAAGCATAAGGGATTCCACGTTTTTGAAATTCAATTGTACAAACATCTGTTACAGTTCAAAAACGATCAAAGGCTGGATTAGAAGACAATAATACATATAGAGCATTTGTGGGTTCCAGCAAAATTGTAAAAATTGATTTTGCCCATATACTTACATGCATTAACTCTGCCAAGAACATGTTCTTTTTTTAAATCATAGAGAAATTGGTCTAACTTGAACTTGAAAACTCTGCAAAGAATATCAGGTCGATCTTCAGCGTTTAAGTTTCTGGCTCTAAGAAACCGTGTAATTTCTGGCCACTTAGAATTGCAGGTAATTGTTACTTCAGATAGTTATCCAATTAATTTTTTATTCAATTAAGTTGTGGTGTAAAATTTTGAATTTTAAAATGGAATGACTCACCTGTTTTAATGACTCGGCCGTTTTTACATTGGAATTATTAAATATTTTAGATATTTTAAAATACGAAAAAAAACGAAAAATTAATTTTTTATTCAATTACTTTTTTCGATTTTTCTTTTAAAAATCGAAATTCAATTTTAATTTCTAATAATTTAAAACAAATGTGGTGGCAGACAAAGCATTTAATGCGCCACTTACCTTCACATTGGAATTGGTCATCTCATTTAATGAGTGAGCTGATTTAAAATTTTGAATTTTGAATTTTGAAATATAATCACTCACCTATTTTACTGACTCTGCTATTTTTACATTGAAATTATTAAATATTTTAACTATTTTAAAATACGAAAAAAAAACGGAAAATTAATTTTTTATTCAATTACATTTTTTGATTTTTCTTTTAAAAATCGAAAAATCAATTTTAATTTCTAATAATCTAAAACAAATGTGGTGGCAGACAAATCATTTAATGTGTCGCATACCTTCACATTGAAATTGGTCATCTCATTTAAGGAGTCAGCTGATTTAAAATTTCTAATAATTTAAAACAAATGAGGTGGTAGACAAAGCATTTAATGCGCCACTTACCTTCACATTGGAATTGGTCATCTCATCTAATGAGTCAGCTGATTTAAAATTTTGAATTTTGAAATATAATCACTCACCTATTTTAATGACTCAACTATTTTTACATTGAAATGATTAAATATTTTAAATATTTTAAAATACGAAAAAAAAGGAAAATTAATTTTTATTCAATTAATCTTTTCGATTTTTCTTTTAAAAATCGAAAATCAATTTTAATTTCTAATAATTTAAAACAAATGTGGTGGCAGACAAATCATTTAATGCGCCGCATACCTTCACATTGGAATTGGTCATCTCATTTAATGAGTCAGCTGATTTAAAATTTCTAATAATTTAAAACAAATGAGGTGGCAGATAAAACATTTAATGCGCCACTTACCTTCACATTGGAATTGGTCATCTCATCTAATGAGTTAGCTGATTTAAAATTTTAAATTTTGAAATGAAATCACTCACTTGTTTTAATGACTCAGCTATTTTTACATTGGAATTATTAAATATTTTAAAATACAAAAAAAAACTGACAATTAATTTTTTATTCAATTAATTTTTTCGATTTTTCTTTTAAAAATCAAAAATCAATTTTAATATTTAATAATTTAAAACAAATGTGGTGGCAGACAAAGCATTTAATGTACTACTTACCTTCACATTGAAATTGGTCATCTTATTTAATGAGTCAGCTGATTTAAAATTTCTAATAATTTAAAACAAATGAGGTGGCAGACAAAACATTTAATGCGCCACTTACCTTCACGTTGGAATTGGTCATCTCATCTAATGAGTCAGCTGATTTAAAATTTTGAATTTTGAAATGGAATCACTCACCTGTTTTAATGACTCAGCTGTTTTTACATTGGAATTATTAAATATTTTAAAATACGGAAAAAAACGGAAAATTAACTTTTTCGATTTATCTTTTAAAAATCGGAAATCAATTTTAACTTCTAATAATTTAAAACAAATGTGGTGACAGACAAATCATTTAATGCGCCGCATACCTTCACATTAAAATTGGTCATCTCATTTAATGAGTCAACTGATTTAAAGTTTCTAATAATTTAAGACAAATGAGGTGGTAGACAAAACATTTAATGCGCCACTTACCTTCACATTGGAATTGGTCATCTCATCTAATGAGTCAGCTGACACTCACCTGTTTTAATGTTTAAGCTGTTTTTACATTGGAATTATTAAATATTTTAAATATTATAAATTAATTTTTTATTCAATTACTTTTAAGTTTTCTTTTTTTGCAAACTTTGGTAAAAATGAAGAAGCGAAGTTGATATCAAAATATTAAAAAACAAATATTAAGGCCTTGGTACACTGTCAAAGTTCAAAACATGATAATAGGCCACAGAATAAAGGAAATGTCAATAGCTCCTCGTTACAAAAAATCGACCAATCTACCGCTTTTATTGGCATTTATTAATTTGTTTAAAAATTTAAAAGTCCAACACACTATTTCGAAATATTAAGGGGAGCATTAAAAATAACTTCAAACGAAACGTCAAGCAATTACTAATAATGAAATTAATTGTTAACAATTGGTATAATGGGGAATTTCAAATGACATCCCTAAAACTGAAACACGTCGTACTAAAGAAATTCACACGTCGTACTAAAGCTGATAACAAAATATTAAAAGAAATTTTTTTTGCAAACTTTGTTAAAAATGAAGAAGCGAAGTTGATATCAAAATATTTAAAAACAAATATTAAGACCTTGGTACACTGTCAAAGTTCAACACATGATAATAGGCAACAGAATAAGGAAAATGTCAATAGCTCCTCGTTACAAAAAATCGACCAAAGCATAGTTACAGATTTTCTTTCTGCTCCAAAGTGTCACCGGCTGCAGCATCAAAACTGTGCCAAAATAAACAAAAAGGCACACAGAGTGAGAGGGATGAAATTACAAATCACGTAAACTTTATAATATCTATAGTCAGAACTTAACTCTTTCACCAGCTTTATTTTTTTTAGAGGACGGACAACTGAACAATTATTTTTATCTTCAACAACATCACCATCCTTCACAGACGGTGACAACAAAGTGAGAGAAATATCAGCATCATCAGTACTGTCACAGGTATGGCTCTGAACATCCTGTCAACAAAATGACTCTGACCGCTATTAATATAAGGATACGGCAATCAAATTTTTCAATTATGTCAATAATACCAACTCACCACAGCTTTTCCTGACCCTATCGACATAATATTATCATCAGAAGGACTGTCAAATACAGAATCATCGTGATATGTTTTTTCCATAAACGCAAAAAAGTCATAACTTTGAAAAGTATAGGTTATGAAAAATAATAAAAAAAACAAACATTTGGGTCCACCGTGGTCTTCAGAAATGATGTGATAATACTTTCACTGATGCAAACTTTGGCCACATGATATTTTGGCTCACTGTATGAGTTCAAATTGCTAATTTTGACATTCACTTTAAACAACATAGATCTATCTTTAAGAACGTTCAACTCTTCCGGATAATGTTCTAAAT